TCTCTGATAGACTTTATCCTTGGGGAAATAAATTGATACCAAAGAATCAGCATAAGTAAGTTGAACTTATATTTATAGAATTTTAATAAGATTGGAAGACCACTTATGTTAAATACATTACTTTAAACTAAGAAGCGCCACTAACGGTCTGAACGTTAAGATGTTGAATTATTCTAAATTCATTTTAAATGAATTAATTTCAGAAATTATAATTGCGTGCCGATATGGTTGTCGGACTTTCAACGCAATCAAATCTGAAATATTAACAATCCCCCCCAAATTTCCCAACTTAAAAACTGTAATAAACTTATTGCGAAAAATAATGCCTCGGCCAGGAGTCGAGCCCGGATCTCTTGCATTCCGTGCGAGATATCACCTGCATATACACATATATACCATTATCGGGCGATAAAAATTGTTTAAAAAATTTCTACCAATGTTTATCGCCAGAACCCTTTAGAAAACGCTTAACTGTTGTGAGAACTGCACTAAAACTGCGAAGGAATAATCAGAACTCTTAAGAAGCTGCCAGCAAGTCACCTGTATGTACCCATATATATGTACCCCCCAAACAGGGAGAAGGTGAGTGAGAGTCGCTTCGCCCTCTGCTAAGGGGCTCACGACTTTCCACGCGAAACGACTCCTACCCCACCTCCATCCCTGCTTGGGAGCGCACGATTTTCATCTCCTCCTGTCAAGGGAAAATATTGCTAAAATATGTATCCCGTATGTTTAAAAATTGTATGCTATTCATAAAAATTGTTCTGTTCATAACTTTTTAATGAATAACGAGCGATGGAATAAGTTAATGCTCTTGACCTCCTTGAGGGTCAAGGTCAGTTGGAGGTCATTTAGGGCTGACTGAGTAAAGGGGAAGTTTTACCAAATTTTTTAGTGAAAAACAAATTCTAACACCAAAATATAGTCTGAATTCAAAGAAAGCTAATGTGAAACACATGTTAATGTTCGCTTTAAATTAAATTTGAAAACATAAGTGATTAATAGTTCAAAATAATAAATAAAAGGAGCATATGTCACACAACGGATGTCTTTTGCGAAAGGTCAAAATAACTAACTAAAATTTATTCCATCAAATACACTAAAACAATATATATAAAATGATAATATTTATTCAACCTGAAAAAAACTACATTACTTATGAGTACCCCCAATAAGTATCTTAACAGTGCTCAAAGTAATCCCTCTTAGAGACAGTACATTTCTGAGATAACTTTCATACAATTTTTAGAAACTCTGTGAAAAGTCATCTTTGGATATCGCCTTGTATCTTATTGTTACACAGCCTCAAGTAGAGCACATAAATCATAAAGGCATCACCATGACCTTATTTGTTATAAGTTTATTTTTAAGTTCATGTTTAAGTGTCAAATGACGTCGTGATGATACGTCCTACGATATCGTTATAACCTAATTATGACTCTGTGTTTTTTTACCTAGTGTTCTGATTCAAAATGTATATGGCAGTTCTTGAGCCAGCGTTGCATTGCCATTTTGAATTACTCTCCCTATTCCCCCGATTTTGTTCCAGCAGACTTTTTATTCCCTAAACTAAAGAAGGTGATGAAAGAGATTCGATTTCGAACATTTAGAATCGTGTGGCAACAAGATTTTTCATAAAGTTTCTATAAGCTGTACGAATATTGTTAGAAGTGTATTGCCTCTAGCGGGGATTACTTTGAAGGACAATAAGGGTCATTCGTATATTAATTCAATGGTGTTTATTTTCTCATAACATTCACCAAATTTTATTGCCACACCACGTATGCCTTATAATTTTGAGTAGTATGTATAATATAATATTTGTTATAATAAGAATTTATATCTTTTATATTATTATGTTGTAGAGCCAATATTTGGCAAGGCAATTTTCCTACTGAGAATACTGAAGAAGATGGATACAAAGGCACATCACCAGTTACAATGTTTTTACAAAATAGGTATGGTTTGCATAATATTATTGGAAATGTTTGGGAATGGACAGCGGATTGGTGGATAACAAAGCATTCAAGCGATCGATTAATAAATCCAGTAAGCATTTATTTATTTAAATACTTCCTTATTTAAATGAAAATATAATAAAGTATGTATTTTATATATTTTATATATACTATATATTATAATGGAATGGTTCTTGTTGAATTTTAGATTGGTCCTTCTAGTGGTAGTGATAAAGTAAAGAAAGGTGGCTCATATCTATGTCATAAAAATTATTGCTACAGATACAGATGTGCTGCGCGTAGTCAAAACACACCTGATACATCAGCTGGAAATTTAGGTTTCAGATGTGCTATATCAGCATAGGTGAAGTATTAAAGTATTAAAGAGATTAAAACTTCGAAGCTGGATATTAAGATTAAAATAATACGAATAAAAAAATTATATTTTATTTACTTTTAAAATTTGTTTAAAAAATTTGTTCATACATGAAATTATAATATGTTACACACCCCCCCCCCCACGTTTAATAAAACTTTTTTAAATATAAAATAGAAAATATTTTTGAAAAAATAAATTAATTAAATACGAGAAATACTTATTTTCAGTCGAAGTGGATCTTAGAGTTTAAATACATACTTCTGCGTGAATTTATACACATTCTGATTTTGATACCGCGCATCGAAATACGACGTTCATTTACTAATTTTTGGTTATTGCGATAAATATTGCCGAAAGCTTGATGGTCTAACGGTGAAGACACCTAGAATGCAAGAGATCCAGATTCGATCACCGGTCGAAGTAATGTTTTTCGTAATAAATTTTTCGCAGATATAAGGCTTTTTTAAACATCTGATTGTGAATATTCTTGTTAAAGACGCTCATTAGCATCATAAAAATTATTAAATTTCTTGTACAATTCAATAAGTAACATTACTATTTTAGTTCTGCTTATGAATGCGTTCCAAGATCGAAAAAGATTTCAGCGCGGTATGCAGAATCAGAATGTATAAAAATTCACACAAGAAGTATATATGTATTTAAACACTGGCCTGGTTCACACTGTGCGCTTAGTCCGCGACCTATACAATAGATGTCTTTGTTTAACCTATAGGTTAAACAAGGACGCCCATTGTTTAGGTCGCGGACTAAGCGCATGGTGTAATCGTAGCCACTAATAGCGTTTTTCACTGGGCCGCACTGAGTGCGCACCAAAAACTTGTTCAGTGACAGCAGCACTGCACGAAGTGCCAAAGTGAGAAGTTGTCAAAAGTGCGAGTTTCTTACACGCCCAGCTAAATATGTGTGTCGACCTTAGTGTGATTTTATAGTGCACATTTACCGCTAACATTTTATGACATAAAATATTGCGTAATTCATTACAGAAGGATTTATGCAAGAGGATGCATGCACGTCTACTATTTTGTAAGCTGTTGTTCTGGAAACGCGAAAATGATTTTTGAATTGCAACAATAACATAATTACTGGTAGTACTGATATTATACAATATATCCTGGTTAAAAATTTTCATATATAATCATTATATTATATAAATATATATAGGGTCTGTCAAAAGTGTGGAAACCTTTTAATATTTTGGAAACTAAGCATTCTTGAGAAAAATGTTTCAAACAAAAGTTTTATAGTTCCAAAGGGGAAAGAAATTGGTAACCTTGGTTAACCTTGAGAAGATGTCCTTAAGATCAGGTCAAGGTTACCTGAAATTTTTTAAACAGAACCCCCCATTTTTCTTTGCATATTCTTGTAACTTACCTCGAGAGATTTTTAAAACATTATAATAAAATATTTTTTCATTAAGTATTTTTCGAGTTATAAGGCTCGAAAGTTACAGTACAGTCGGCATTAGCATTACGCAAGTTGTCCGACCGACGGCTAAAACCTCTTGAATGTTGTTCAGGATTATATCTTGGGTAACATTTATCAAGATCAAGGCTATTGGAGGTTGTACCTCTTATTTTCATTTTTACGTAAAAATGAATTTTTAGTGCAAAAATGAAAATAAGAGGAATAATCTCCAATGGCCTTGATTTTGACAAAGGTTATTCAAGATCGGACAATTTGCGTAATGCTAATGCCTGTACTGTAACTTTCGAGCCTTATAATTCGAAAAATACTTAATGAAAAAATATTTTATTATAGTGGTTTGGAAAGTTCTCGAGATAAACTACAAAAAAATGTAATAACAAGAAAAATAGGGGGTTCCATTTAAAAAAATCGACATGATCTTGATCTGACCTTGGCTAGCGTCGCCAAGGTCAAACCGATGTGATCAGTAAATAAATTTTTTAAATTCTACAACCTTTGTTTGAAACATTTCAAGAATGCTTAGTTTCTAAAATATTAAAGAGTTTCTACATTTTTGACAGACCTCGTATAAATGTATAAGGTAATTGGGGGGAAGACGCCACACTTAAGCCTTTATTCTTGAATAACTTCTTAATGTTATTGAATTAAGTTATGAAAAAATATTATTAATATTCTAGAGATCTTTCTTTATTTATACAAATATTCTAGAGATCTTTTTTTATTTACACAAATTTACAAATTTAACGTTTAATATTCCGTATTAATGGAAAAAATTGATATATCATACTTTGCAAAAGTGACATCTTCGCCCTATATGTGTGGATGAGATGCCACCTCCTATGGGAGATGTTACAAACAATTAAATAATATAATGCAATATATATATAAACTTGTATATTTTACTTATATTTACAGTCCATAATGAACGGTTTAAGCTATAAAAACATATAAAGGTGTAATAAAACATAAATTGAGGAAATATAAAAGAGAGTGAATGAATTTAGGAAGTAAGTTGGACATACTTATTATGTTTCTCACATTGTACGGTCAAAAAATAAGATTCTTATTGTTTATAAAATTAATTTTTTCTTATACATACATGTATATCTTCTCATGCAACATGAATAAAATAATTTAACTTCATAAAAACATAAAAATCATGAAATACTCTTAATTGATAAAAGCGTTTTATGATTATTTTATTATATGTATTTGTTTTATTTGCTTGCTGAGGAGTCCATGGTACAATGAATTTTTGAAGTTAAAGTCTTTATCTTGAAGCCACCTCCATAAAATTTTTTAGTACGTACCAAAATATCTGGAAGAATAGTTTTGTACGTAGACTTCAAAGTCATCTCTTTAATTTTTTGGAGTTTAATTTTTTGTGCATAAAATATTTTCATCAACTCGCACATCTCATTGGTCATTGTTATCATGTCATCTTTAAATCCACCCACTTGCGACTCGTACATATTCAGCTCCGCGATGAGACACTGTTGAAAGGACATGCGTTCATTTACCACAATAGTCTTAAGGGGATATAAAAAATAATCTGTTTTGTCGACTCAATAGGATTTCACACATACAATACATATCACTACATACCTACTACTACATTATTATCGTAGGCACATATACGTATAAATTTTCGTAAAGAATTAGGTGCTAACCCTGTTGCAAATTCTCTTACAAGAAAAATTCTTGTGAGATTTTCCAAGAAAATTTTCACATACGAATTTCGGACAGAAAAATACAAGATCGTATAAGAATATATCGTATGCGATATGTTCTGATGTTATCAATCTGAAGATAAGTGGTAAGTGGTCAGCATCCTTGAAGCATATATAAATCTAATTTGGTGTAGCAATTTTTAATTAAACTGATGAACAATTCTAAAAGTAAGAACTCTATTCAAAGAAATTCTAGTTTTCCATATTTATGGTCCTGTGTCTAAAAAAATATATAAAATTTTTCTAAAAATTTTAAATATAAAGGTCCGCTATTTTTCATGAATAAGATACTGATAAGAAAATAAAAATATTTTTTTAAATTTCTTAATTTTTTGAAAAATGAAATCTTTTTGAAGAGATATTTTTATCTATAATACCATTTCTTAGCTGAAATAAAAAATTGCTACGTAATTAAGTGTACATATGCTTAATTTCCGCAAAGTTTAAAATTTTTAAGAATTATCGTCTAATCAAACCTTTTTTGAAAGTTTCACTATTTACCTTGATCTTCTCTCCCCTTTTACGTAAAATGTTTTGAACCTTATTTAAGCTTGTCTCTCTCTGCGAATTTGGTTGCTTCGACAAAACGTCACGAAGATTCATATATAATTTCTCAGCATCTTTTAGTTTCCTCTCTTTATGAATTATGTCAGTGGACATTTTCAAAATACGTTCTTGTAGAATTTGTACTTTTTTAACAAGCTCGAAAGTAGTAGGATCTGTACCCTATTATGAAGAAAATATGTGTATAATGAAACAATGAAATGTTTAAACAATGACAATAATTTACTTAACATTAAAGATTACAATAAAAAATCAAACTGTATAGATAAATTATACAGGATATGAAAGAACATTGAAATGGGACAATTTTGACCTAAAAAATGCAACAAAAAGGTTATACATGTCTTTACAGTTTTTTTTAGATCAATCACTGAATATGATAATAGAACTCTTAAGGCCCGGTTACACCAACATTACTTTGACTTTAAGCAAGACTTAAAACTCTCTCTGTCTCGTTTTTCGACATATGTATATCAATTCTTTTCTATGTAATTTTTGTTTTTACAGCAGAGAATTTGTTTTGATTAGATATTTGTTTGCTTTAAAAACACAAATTCTCTGCTTTAAAAATAAATTTTCTACTGTAAAAAAAATTATATAAAAAATAATTTGTATTTTTAAAGCAGAAAATTTGTATTTTTAAAGCAGAGAAGTTGTGTTTTTAAAACAGAATTTGTTTTTAAAATAGAGAATTTGTTTATAAAGCAGAGGATTTATGTAATCCTCAATGCCATCGATGTGATAGACTTCTTAACCTGAATATTTGTCAACTTCAACAATCAATATGGTGGAACAGAGCGACACGTTTTTTTGTCAGATTCGTTCATTTCGTGCAAAAACGCGTTGAATGAATGCATTGAATAATTTTATCAACATCGAATTTGAGGAGGCTAAACTCAACAATGACCATAAAAGTATAATATATGAATATTATGATTAAATACTCTGAATACTCAGTAATGATATATTTATAAATATATTTGTGTGCAAACTATGAAATTCATAAATAAATGAATTAAAATCAATTATGACATATGTTTTTTATATCCACGCAAAAACAATTTTCAGGGAATGCATTTTGCACATACTAATCCCAGAAAAGGTCTTTGAATTAATTCTAAGCGAAAATAAACGGAACATTATCCTAACTTAATTTAATGCTTTTTGCACATAGTATTCTAAGATCTCTTCTGGGAATAGTATGTGCAAAAAGCATTAAATTAAGTTAGGATAATATAGCAACATAACAGTCACATTTTATAACAATAACACAGGAAATTATAAAATTGTTATATGATTATTATATAACATCTTAAATTATATGTTATATTTATATTATGTAGCTGCAATGATTCATGAGTAAGAAATTATAACTAACGTGGACGTAGAATGTTATACACAATTGCACACGTTATATTATCTGTTATATTCCGTTATATGGAAGCAATATAATAGTTATATATTATATTTGTGTCTGCTGGGATATATGAATTTCAAAACTCTTAATAGTAACTAACACTGAAGCTGGGGCAAACGATAATAAGGATATCGCCGACTTAAAAATCACGTAAATAACGTGTTCTCAAAAAATTTTACTACCTATTTAATAAACATTCCTTGTTTGCTAAAATGTTTACTTATATGAAGTATAAAAATTTTCAGTTTGTCATATAAAACTTATAAAGATATATATACTTTTCGTCTTGTACTATGCAGAGATTCTTAAATTTTTTTTTGAAAAATAAACTTACCTCGAGCTTTCGCCATCTGTGTATGTTTAATGGAGTTTGAATTTCCTCTTCAAGTGCAGTGACTTTAAGTTTTTCTTTTGTTAGGTTACGATTTAGATGAAAAACTTCTTGGCGCAAATCACTAACGTTGAAGATATTTTTTGTTAGTAACATTTTCTCGGTTCTAAGTCTTTTCACTTCGAACTTAAGTAACCGAATATCTTCTAACTTTTGATTGTATTGCTTCTCGCCACACTGTAATGTTCTATTCAAGACCTATGGCATATGAACATATATATATATTTCAGAAAAAAATGCTATCTATTTCAGATATGGCTTGCTTTCCAGCAAGGACACAGTCAGACATTGTGTAATACAGTGTCTGATTGTGTCCTTGCTGGAAAGCAAGCATGGTAAATAGTATTGCAGTTTATGATTCAAGTCAGGCAAATCAAACCAGCGTATATTTTATAGAAACTAATAATTGTATTTGTATATATTTACGGTTGAATATTACTAAGCACCACTTTATACAAAAACGGCATCCTCTCCACACATATACTGTAATATTCTATTCAAGATCTATGATATATGAGTATATATGTATGTATATGTGTTCCAGAAAAAAATGCTATCTAATTCGGATGTAGTAAATTCAAAGAAAGTGTCTCTGGGTAAAAACTTTTTAGGAAACGTTTGAAATTGGTCTATCTTCATACTGTTAGGCCTGTTGAATTCGAACATAGAGCTTAAAGTTATTCCAAATACAGGGAACTGTAAAAACACGATTTTTCTGCACAAAAGCCCCGTTTTGCATCAAACATTTTATAATATAATGAATAATTGGTGACTGTGAACAAAGAAGAAGTTTTGATAATTATTTACTATAGGGGACTTAGTCCCGATGACCTTGACCTTGACATATGTTGTCAAAGTCATAATCCTGAGTAGCTTTGCCTTAACTAATAGCAGTGTCTTATAGTTCTTGAGATATTCGGAGTTAAAATGTAACTTTAGTATTATGCGGCGGATGCCCCTAGGCAGGCTAGGCGGATCTCGCTTCTTAAAAATTCGCGCGCCTCTAAGCAGAGGGAGGTAGATTGGATCTCGTTTTGCATGGAAAGTGCTCTCTTAGGTAGAGAGGAAGTGGGGTAAACCCTGCTTTGCGTCGAAGGTCGAATACCTCTAGGCAGGAGGTAGTTGGGTTGGTACTCGGTTCATGGAAAGTTGCATGCCCCTAGGCAGACGGGTGAGGTGGTGTGGACCTCTCTTTGCGTGAAAGGTCATATAGGTACATCGTATTAAAATTCCACTTTAACTGTAAATATCTCAAAAATTATAAGAGACCGCCACCTAGTTGTTAAGGCAAAATTACTCAGGATCATGACCTTGACAACATATGATCAAGGTCATCGGGGCGTATATATAATTACCAAAGCTTTTATTAATAAAAGAAGTTTTCTTTTTTGAGGAAAAGGGTGGAAGAGAGAAAGTGGATAGGAACGAATTTGAGATACCTTAAAGTCTTCAAAAATTTGCAGTCTTCCACCGACTAATAAAAAAATTGCCGAATATAATCATTGATATCATCTTAAAGTATGGACTTTGCACTTTCAAATGAAAAAAAAACTTTGTTTTACACTGATTATTTAGCGAGATATGGCATTTTAAAGTAATCCCTGATTCTTTATGATTTCATCACGATATCGCCGGCATTTGCGTAACCCGATGTGCACCACGGGGAGGCTGCTCGGATTTTTTAATTTTTTTTAATAAGAAGTGTGTTGCCACCTTTTCGCCGTATCATCTCGCGCAATCTCATATTGATTCACTTTTTTTTATGTCAAATTGAGAAATTTCACTCCAAATTTGACGCAATGCCTCTTGTAAGTCTGCTATAATTGTCGGCTGTCTTCGATGATTTCTCAAATGATGTTCCATCATATCCCATATATTCTCTATTGGATTCAAGTCTGAACTCATTGGAGGATGTGGGAGTAACAAGATGTTTTCTTGTAAAAAAATCTGTTTCTAAGGCTGCGTTCCGTTTTACGCATGATGTGCATGATGCATCATTTATCCTTGTTTAACATTCGGTGAATAACAAGGATAAAAGATGCATCATGCGCATCATGCGTGAAACGGAACGCAGCCTAAAGGCCATTCTACATTGGTCGTATCGTAGACGTCGCAAGTCACAAGTTTGTTGCTTGAGCCAATCCGATGCTTCAATTTCAAAGTCGTATGACGCTTACGACGCTGCGATACGACCGATGTAGAATGGCCTTAAGCAATCATTGTTTCGCATTAACCTTAGTTTACAGTGTATTGATATATCTTTGTTTTGATGTTTTCAATGGCTGCATTCAGCAGACTCAACAGTTTTGCAACCGTTTTATGATTGTCTGCTGAGATAGGACCATTCTTCTAGATCTAAAAGTATGATCCAATTAGCGCGAAGGAAACTTCCAACAGTTGCAAAACAAACGTTCTGCTGAACGCAGCCATTGATTTCGAACGATTTTTTATCCACGCACTTGATTGGCTACGTTTACATCGTGCATTTAGGCCGCGCCCTATACAATAGACGTCCTTGTTTATTCTGTATATTAAACAAAGACATCTATCGTATAGGTCGCGGACTAAGCGCACGGTGTAAACATAGCCATTGATTTTCCCCGTACCGTCTGCGTCGGACAATGAGTCACGCCGCCCCTGCTTATCTTCTCTACGCGTCTCGTCATTCGCTAACTGTTTCTTATTATAATTTGAAAACTAAACTTCGGACGGAATTTTGACAAAGGAAAAATCATCTTAGAATTAAGTCAGGAATGACACTTTAAGAACAAACGTTTATTCGGAGTTATACATCATTCGTTTACACTCTGTATAAAAGACTTTTTTTTGTTTACAACTGCTATTTGTTCATTAGAATTTGTTACACACGAGGCTTTTGTGCTGAAAAAATTGTGTTTTTATAAACTTTCCCAGATTTGAAATAATTTTAAGCTTCATTTTCGTGTTCAACAAGTGTAACAGTATAAAAATAGACCGATTTCAAACGTTTTCTTGATAGCAAATTTTGGCCCTAAAGTGACTTTTCTTTGTCAAGCCCTTAGCTTAATGAGTTTTCATTTCTCTCTTTCTAGTAACCGATCCATGTACCATGAACTTACTTTTTATATTTTTTTACAGACAATTTATATTTAACAATTATTTCAAATAAAAGCTACAACAATCTCTCTGTAAAAGATGTAAAAGTCAAACCTTCATCCTGCTGTATTGCAGGCTCAGTTCATCATTTCTTCGGACCAATTGTGTACCGAGTATGTCACGTTCATTCATAACGTTATCAACATCTTTCTTCTGACGTACGATATCTGAATCTGCCTGATGTATGGCCTGTCTGAGGCTCTTTTCCTTTTTCTTTGCTTCTTCAATTTGTTGTCGTAAGTTGGTTATTTCCATATGAGAAGCTCGCAAATCAATCTTAAGTTCCTCTTTCTCTTTCTCAACTTTTCTTAACACTGCAAAATGAATGATTTTCTAGACTTACAAGTTTTGATTTGTTATTATAATTTTTTATGACTTCTTCATTGATTCCTTTTTCCTTATTTGGTGTTATAGCAAAACCTTGAACAGATCTAGTAATCTAAGATTGCCTTTTTGTCAACTAAATAAATGTTGAGTACTACGTGCAAGTTCCAGAATTCTATATTTCATGGGAAAATAGAGGAGACATAGAAAGATGCAATTCACTCTTCTTATGAGATATCTCTCTGAGACGAGTGTTATAAGTAGAACGTACTTGAGTAAACCCTAGATGTGAATCAACGCTGGTACTGCAGCGCTTGTTCTTCTTGTGGAAGCTTAAGATCGTGGGGGAGTTTTGCGAATTCTCTAGCCAGGATATCTCTAGCAACGGATGCGATGGAGCATCTTCGCGTGAGGAAGGTTCACCACTTCCCCAAGTAATCTCTAGGGATCGATTGTTAAAGTCCTCTGGGATGCGAGTGAGAGACTAGGTACTACCAACCCTTTACTAGGAGAGCCAGAGCAAGGGTTCTCAGCTGCGATGTTGACAATCTCCAGGTAGAACTGACCCAATTCCGACGTAAGAACAGCTCACTTGGTTTGGAGTTGAAGCACGCAAAGAAGGAGATAGGAAAAGCATCCCCTTCCATCAGCGATCCCCGTCACCTGCGATAATTTTGGAGGTATGAATCTGCGCCTCTGTTCTCCCTTATGAATATCAAATTCCTAGCGGCGAAAGAAGAGTTTGCGATTCCAGATCTCTCTTTCGGTGCTGGTAAAAGCTTATGGGAAAGCGAGTGTTTACCCGCCACTAGGCAGAGGGGGAAACGGGAGAGATCTATCTTCCAGAATTTCTCAATAATCCCTCATATCTTGGTGAAGATGAAATATGCGTAGTGTGCTAACATTTTAACGTAATGCGTCCTTCTTCCTTCCTTCTCGAAGAACAGCGAGAGGAATAAGAGGAAGAGGGACGGAAGTTTGAGGCTGGGCGTGTTCCTGATTTTTGTTGAATCATCAAATCAGTATTTTAATTCAAACTTCGAGATATATTGGAATGTCGCGAAGACAGATGCATTTTTTTTATAACAGTTGGCACTACTAATACCAACCATTGCACAAATATAAAGGATGCTCATATTATCTGCAATGCTCATACTCAATCCTACCCTATTTTTTTTATGTAAATACAATACAACAAAATACTTAACTCTGATAAACTACAATAAAAAATAACAAATAATAAATTTCAAATATATTTAAAAATTAATAAGCAGATTGAATCTAAAATGCATCAACTGAGGCCAAGTTTAAAATATTAAATTTAAAATGACTTACGGAATTCCTTCTTGACAAGATTGGCTTCCTTCATCGCAATGTCTTCTTTCAATTGCTCAGTCTGCTGGCTTGTAATTTTCAGTTTGCTCTTTAAATCTTGCACCTCCTCCTGCGTCTCTATCAAACTTCTGTTGCACAGATTCCATTCCGCACGGACAGCTTCGAATAGACTTTGATGTTGACGGTACTTGGTTTCGACATCAGCCAAGCTTTTCTTGTAATCCAATACCTCCACTTGTTTTTGTTCAGTTTCACTTATTTGTCTCTCCAACTGCCAACGTATTTTAATCATATTTTCGTATTACTTTGCTTATATAGTATACTTATCGTTCATAATCAGTTAGTATATATATATATAAATACACAAAATAACCCCATTGTAGGATGTTTTTGTACAGATATTTTTCATATACCTGTGCGCCTGGCCCTATGCCCTCCCTCCGTAAAAAATTTTTTGTAATGGAGGAAATATAGGGAAGCAACAGCGATATGAGACCTCTGTGTGTCGAGCAGTGCAGTCGCAAAATTGCATGCAGAACTGAAAAACATGTGTGCCGTCGGAAGGTGTCTTTCACAAGTAAGTGAATTCAGTTTGCTATTTTTGTATTGAGCTTATTTTATTGTGTATATATATTTTTCTAACCTAAAAAATTTTTTTGTACGTGTTTATGCAAATTCAAATGCTACAAAATTATTTTTCTTTTTATAATAAAGATAACAAATTAAAGATAATAAAATCAAACTGTCTTTTCTTTAAAAAATATTATTTGTCCACATTAAAAATATGACATTTTCAGATGCTCAAATAATTGCACTTTTTCTAGCCACTGTAATATTTTTTTTGTATAGTATCATATTTGTACAAAAACATCCTACAATGATTATTTTGTGTACATATACATATATAGCAAAGTTACCATTTTTATATCAAAACTGAATTATTTTTTTTTTCTGGTGCAGAAAATAATTTTCATAATTTTTCTAAACTTTTTTTCCAATGTCTGCACAGCACAGTAATTTAGTAGAGACCTTAAAGAACATGTGTGAATTTTTACAGAATTTTTCGAGCACTTTAAGAGTCTTAAAATCGAGTTGGACATGAATAATCCACGTGTGTCGTTTGAAGATATCGAAAATAAGTGTGCCATGCGAGGGTTAATGTTAATCGTTAAAGGAGCATAAAAGCCTACGCAGAATCACAGTGCAAAAATATATTATACCAATTATATGAATTACATTTCATGTGATTGGTATTTTAAAAAAAGGTAAAAAAGGCGCCAAGTATGCATGCTCCTCTCAGAAAAAATTGTTACATAAATTATTATACGCGCTTGTACGTATATGTGCGCTCTTTAAAGAAAAAGATGACTTGCTATTCCAAATCTATTCCAAACTTATTTTCCAAACTATGAAGATGTATAATAATTTTTTTCAAAAAATACGAGAAAACTTTAAATTGCGCCTATCATAAACAGAAAATATTTTCGTTGAAACATTTCGTTGAAACACTATATAGTGTTATATAACTACTTTTAAACAAAAATACATGAAAATAAGAGTATCTAATTGAATTAAAAAAATTTTAATATAAAAAAACTTGGCGCCGCTAGCAAAACTTGGCATGGTCTAGCGGCGCCAAGTTTTTTTATATTAAAA